AATTTAATTTCTTCATTATGAATTTGGAATCTTTTATTTCTTTTCTTGTCTGATTGCTGTGGCAAGGCTTTCCAGTGCTGTGTTAAATAAAAGTGGTGACAACGGACATCCTTGTCTTGTTCCTGATATTGACAGATTTTCCCCTATAGAGTGTGATGTTAATTGTTGGTTTTTCATATATGGCCTTTGTTATGTTGAGGTATGTTCCTTCTCTAAACCCACTTTTTTGGACTGTTTTTGTCATGAATGGATGTTGAAATTTGTGAAATACTTTTCATCTTTCATTTTGTTGATATGGTGTATCACATTGATTGACTTAGGAATACTGAACCATCCTTGCAATAAATCCCACTTGATTGTGGTGAATGACTTTTTAAATGTATTGTTGGATTTGATTTGCTAATGTTTTATTGAGGATTTTTGCATCTATGTTCATCAGGGATATTGGCCTGTAGTTTTCTTTTTCTAGAGTGTCTTTGTCTGATTTGGTATCAGGGCAATGCTGCTTTTCTTCCTCTCCCATGTTGTGAAGTAGTTTGAGGAGAATAGGTATTAACTCTTTAAATGTTTGGTAAAATTCACCTGTGAGTCCATCTGGTTCTGGACTTCGTTTTTTGGGAGTTTTTTGATTACTGAATCAGTTTTGTTACCAGTAATTGGTCTGTTCAGATTTCCAGTTTTTTCTTATTCAATTTTGGAAGATTGTAGGTTCCTAAGAATTTATCCATTTGTTCTCAGTTGTTTAGTTTGTTGACATATAATTTTTTTGTAGTATTCTCTTATCCTCTTTTTGTAGTGTTGTTACTTCTCTTTTGTTTCTGATTTTATTTCTTTGTGTCCTCTCTCTTCTTGATGAGTCTGGATAAAGGTTTATCAATTTTGTTGATCTTTTCAAAGAACCAGCTCTTGGTTTCATCGATCTTTTCTATTGTGTGTGTAGTTTTTTTGGGGGGGGGTCTCTATGTCATTTATTTCTGCTCTGATATTTTTTATTTCCTTTCTTCTGCTCACCTTGGGCTTTCTTCTTTTCCTAGTTTCTTTAGATGTAAGGTTAGATTGTTTATTTGAGAGTTTTCTTGATTCTTGAGGTAGGTGTGTACCACCATACATTTCTTTCCTAGAACTGTTTTTTTCTGTGTCCTAAAGATTTTGAATTACTGTGTTGGCATTTTCATTTGTCTCTGAATTTTTTAATTTCCTCTTTGAATTCTTTCTTGACCCATTTACTGTTCAGTAGCATGTTGTTTAGCCTTTACGTGTTTGTGTTTTTTGCTTGTGTGTGTGTGTGGTTGATTTCCTGTTTCATACCATTCTGGAAAGGATACACAATACAGTTCCAATCTTAAATTTATTGGGACTTGTTTTGTGGCCTATCATGTGGTTTAGTCTAGATAATGTTCCACGTGCACTTGAAAAGAATGTGTATTCTGTGGTTTTGGATGGAATGTTCTGTACATGTCTGGTTTATCTGCTTTAATATGTCAAAAACACTGTTTCCTTATTTTCTACCTGGATATTCTATCCTTTGATGTAAGTGGGGTATTGAAATCCCCTACTATTATTGTATTACTGTCAATCTCTCCTTTTATATCTGTTAATATTTGTGTTATGTATTTAGGTGTTTCAGTGATGGTGCATAGATATTTACAATTGTTATATCCTCTTCTTGGATTGACCCCTTATCATCATGTATTGCCTTTCTCTGTCTCTTGTCATAGTTTTTGTTTTAAAGTCTATCTTGTCTAAGTGTTGCTTTGTCCCCCCACTATATTTGCATGGTATATCTTTTTCTATCCCTTCACTTTCAGTCTGATGTGTCTTTAGTTTTTGTTTGGTTTTTTTTTTTTTAAAGATTTTATTTATTTATTTGAGAGAGAGAGAATGAGAGAGAGCAAGCACATGAGAGGGGGGAGGGTCAGAGGGAGAAGCAGACTCCCTGCCGAGCAGGGAGCCCGATGCAGGACTCGATCCAGGGACTCCAGGATCATGACCTGAGCCGAAGGCAGTCGCTTAACCAACTGAGCCACCCAGGCGCCCGTGTCTTTAGTTTTGAAGTGAGTCTCCTGTCGGGATCATATAGATGGGTCTTGTTTTTTATCCATTCTGCCTCCATATGTCTTTTGATTAGAGCATTTAGTTCATTTACATTTAAAGTAGTTATTGCTATTTTGTTAATTGTTTTTAGTGGTTTTGTAGTTCTTCTCTGTCCCTTCTACTCTTGTTCTCTTTTCTTGCAATTGAGGACTTTCTGTAGTGTCATGTTTGGCTTTCTTTTTCCTTATATATCATATGTTTTGGGGTTTGGGTTGCCATGAGGCTAATATGTAGGATTCTAAGTACACAGCAGTGTATATTAAGTTGATGGTTACTTAAGTGTGAATACATTCCAGAAGAACTTTTTTGGTCTCTCCTCCTTTTACGTATATGCTCATATTTTACATCTTTTTAGTCATAATCTTCTAATTAAGACCTTTTGGTTTCCATTTAAAGTAGTCCCTTTAACAGTTCTTATAAGGCAGTTTAGTGAGTTTGGGAAATTATTTCTCTCTAAATTCTGAATGATAATCTTGCTGGCTAGAGTATTCTCAGTTGTAGGTTTCTGCCTTTCAGCTATTTGAATAGGACAGCCACTCCCTTAAGGACTGCAAAGTAGTTGCTGAAAAATCAGCTGATAGCCTTATAGGGTTTCCCTTGTACATAACATTTTGCGTTTCTCTTGCTGCTTTAAAATTGTCTCTTTATCTTTAACCTTTGACATTTTAATTTTGTGTTCAGGTGTGTTCCTTGTGTTCATTTTGTTTGGAACTCTCTGTACTTCTGGAATCTGGATACCTTTACTTCCCCAGTAGCTATTATGTCTACAAATAAGTTTTCTGCTCCTTTCTCTCTGTTGTCGTCATCTTCTAGGACCCCTATAATGTAAATGTTCACTTGATGTTGTCCAAGAGAGCCCTTAACCTATCCTCATTTTCTTAAATACTATTTTCTTTTTGCTCTTCAGCTGGGGTGCTTTCCATTACCCTGTCTTTCAGATCACTGATCTGTTCTGCATCTGTTCATCTACTATTGATTCCCTGAGTGTATTTTTTTAGTTATTAATTTCAATTTTGATTGGTTCTTTTTTATATTTTCTGCCTCTCTCTTGAAATTCTGAGTTATTCCACTCTTCTCTCCAGTCTGGTGAGCATCTTTAAGATCATTATTTTAAACTCTGTTAGACATATTGTTTATCTCCATTTCATTTAGTTCTTTCTCTGAGTTTTTGTCTTGTTGTTTTATTGAGAGCATATGCCCCTGTCTTCTCATTTTGCTTGAATTTCTGTGTTTGATCCTCTGAATTAGGTGGAATAGCACTTCTAAACTTGAAAGAATGGTCTTGTGTATGGTCATCTCCTGTGTAGACTGTGTGTGCCTGGTGACTTTGGCTGGCTGACTGGAGCTGTGTCTGGTGTGGGCGGGGGATCATGTGACACTCCGGGCTAGGGTTGCCCCGGTGTGATGGCCAGAGCTGATATGGGCATGGGCGGGGCTGTCCCAAAGTGCTTCAGGTAGAGGGCACCCTGGAAGGACAGCTGAAGTGGATGTGGGCTGGGGGGGGGGGGTGTTTCAGGGCTCTCTGTGCAGTGTGCAATCTGGTGGGGTGGCTATAGATGAGGCAGATGTAGGCCAGGGGGACCTGGGGTGCTCCATGCATGGGGCACCTTGGCAGGAAAGCTGTAGCTGATGTGGGTATTGGCTCAGGCAGTTCCAGGCCTCTCTGGCCAGAAGGCATCCTTGGAGGACAGCTAAAGTCAAAGTGGGTGCAAGTCTGGGTGTCCCAGCGTGCTCAGCACAGGGGGTGACCTAGCGGGCAGCTAGAGCTAAGGCTGGCACAGGTCAGGCTGTCCTGGGACACTGCACAGGGGCTGCCCTGGTGCTGTGGCCGGAACCAAGGCAGGTAAGGGCTGGGGATTCCTGGTCATTCTGCACATTGGGCACCTTGGCGGGGTGGCTGGAGTCAAAGTGACATGAGCCAAGAGTGCCCAGTGTGCTCTGCACCAGGGTGCTCTAGCAAGCAGTCTGGAGCTAAAGTGGTGCAGACATGGAATGTTCCGGGGTGCTTTGTGCCTGGGTCGCCTTGTTGGGATGGCTGGAGCTATAGTGAGCACTGACCAGGGGTGTTGCTGTGTTCGCTGTGCTGGGGCCGCCTTGGTGGGATGGCTGGAGTGGTGTGGGCTAGTGGGCTAGCTCAGTGAGGCAGTAGGCCAGCAATGGTGCCTGCACCTTTCTCCCATCTACACTATTAAGGTAGATGGGGAACATAAACCACGGTGCTCGCCAGCCCCTCCAACCAAGAGAGAGATCCAGCAGCTGCCTCTGTTTGCTGGGGTTTTAGGGCTGGCTCTTTTCTACCATGGCTTTTTTTCTGTGCTCCAGGACACCCAGGGCTGCTGTGAGCTAGGGACCCAGTGCTGAAGCGGCAGGTCAACTACGGCACCTGGACCCTGCTCCTGTCTGTGCTATCAGGGTGTTCGGGGGAGTGTAAACCATGGCACTTGCCAGCCCCTCTGACCCAGAGAGAGTTCCAGCAGCTCTCCCATTTGGTGGAGTTCTAAGGCTGGATCTTTTATATACTAGTTGCTCTTTTAAACCACGGCTTTTTTTCTGTGCCCTAGGGCAGACAAATCTGCTTATGGTCCCTCAGTGCTGTCCCTCCCCACTGCGGTTCACAGGGGTGGGCCTTCCTTTCATTATCACGTATTCATCTCCCTTGTCATTTTTTATGTGCTCTGTTGTACAGAAGCCATTCCGTCAGCCCTCAGTTCTTCAGGAGAAATTGCTTCATAAATAAGTGTAGATTTGGTGTGTCTGTGGAGGAGGCGAGTTCAGGGTCTTTCTACATTGCCATCCTGGACCAGACTCAATATTTTTATGAAACTCAAATGCAAAACATGAAAAACTGTCAAGTAATCAACAGAGGACTCAATGTTTATGAAGAAAAAGAAAGCCAATGAATTCCATTTACATTTTAAACTATTTAATAGAGATATTTATTGTATACATGGTTTTAGTTTAATATAAACACAAAATTCTTCTCTGGAAACACTTAACCTGAGTGGAAAATGAAATCAGAACTGAAGAGATTTTAATGCACAAAAACAATTCTTTCTCCTCAAAATATAAGCAATGATTCCCAACTGGGGAGTTTCTCTGAAGTTCAGGGTTCAGGCCCAGGACAAGAGTGAGGGAAAACTCCCTGTAGGTCAAAAGCTCTGCTGAAGTCATAGGATTGAACTTGTGGGCCCTTAATCAGAGTGAGCTTTCTCAAACACCCCCGGAAGGAGGTCTGGCTGTTCAGGCAGTTTTGCTTTACATCAGCTGTTAAAGAAGAAAGCAGAAATCTTGTTTAATTTTGTTAAATGACATGGATAGCACAATAGGAACAAAAATAATATCAAGTGGTTTCTCTATCAAAATTAGAATAATACTCTCCCACATATGTTATTCAGGGATAAGGCAATGAAAACAATTTAAGTCACAACTGTGCCTTAACTGAGTCACAGCTTATTTATTATTTGTAATAATTACTTGGAACATCTGAAATGCATAATTCAAATCCAGCATCACTGTGAGAAGATAAGATCATGTTTGTCCCCTAAAATGATTTCCTACTGGGGCGCCTGGGTGGCTCAGATGGTTAAGCGTCTGCCTTCGGCTCGGGTCATGATCCCAGGGTCCTGGGATCGAGTCCCACATCGGGCTCCCTGCTCAGCGGGGAGCCTGCTTCTCCCTCTGCCTCTCTCTCTCTCTGTCTCTTATGAATAAATAAAATCTTAAAAAAAAAAAATAAATAAAATAAAATAAAATAAAATGATTTCCTACTCTGGGGGTCACCTAAGATGAGTCACCTTGGTAAAGTCATCTAGCTTACTTTACAAGGCATCCAATATTCCCAGAGTCTTACCTAAGGGTGAATTTATGTGTGTAGATTATTTTAATTTTTCCAAGAATTCCTAGGTATTTGAAATAACCTTTCTAAAAATGTAAAGGATTTTTCATCCAAACCGTGTATTTTTCTTAATCTCTATTCTATAGCCACCTAAACTAAGACTTCCCTTAGTGGCAATGCCGCTTAAAAGTGAATGGGCCAAGCAGACATCCATACATACCAGGATAGCCACCGACATAAATGGGATTGTTGGTGTCTGCCGAGGTGGACTGGGTGTGTGGACTCTCAGCACGAACTACATTCCCGTCAACAATTAGAACCAAGCGGTGTTTGCTTTTCTGAGCTTGAAGTGTGTGCCATTTTCCATTGCAGACAGTATTGGTAGCTTTGGGCTTGTATGTGGCTGTTATCCTACCGGCACCATTGTTAACGTGAAACAAGATCTAAACCAGCAAAACACAGGTAGATATCTTGGTGAATTCTTCCATATTTAAGGAACACAATCCATTTATAGAATGCTCTTGAAATGGATAACATCCCAAAATTCTGCTAAAAAGGAAGGCAAACTATGAAAAACTGAGAGGATTCAGATTTTATTACTCCCCAAATTACAGAAAAGACCAATGACCACCATGGGAATGAATAAGCCTGAGCCACTGTTTTTGCATTATGTCCTCCAGTCAGTGGCTCATTGTCAGGATAGCAGGAGCTGTTGGGTTGACTGAGGGTCAGTTAATAGCAGGTGACTAGCACCTATGAAGAGACATTTACTCACAGTCTTCTGACAGACTGTAGATGCTCTACCACAGCAAGTGGTAACACAAATCTATGACGTGCAACAAAAGATGGCAGGGAAGACTTGCAAGTACACTGTTGTAAGGTGCTTATGCTGTATGTGAGGTGGCCCAATGTATTTCGAGGTAGACTAACAAATTGTAGATTATAAAACTTTGGGTGACAGCTAAGCAAAGTTTTAAAGGAAAAATAAGCTAATAATAGAGGTAAAATATACATCAGAAATTACATTCTTGGCAACTGTTACACTTCTGATGACATTTTTCAGATGTCACATTTTTTCAAAATTCTTTTGAAGTGCAGATGAGGAAGAATCTGGTGTAAGCCACAGCGTAGAGAGGCAAGCAGTACGCTGTAGAGGCAGCTTTGTGTGGACATGGGGGTGAAGAGGTGAAGGGTAAGGGATACTTTCTTATAGCCTCCTCATCCCCATTCTAGGATGTCCTAGGAGCCAGAAACCCCGCGGGGAAGAAGCAGAATTACTAGAGACAAGCAAATAAGATTGGGAGAAATCTAGAGCAAAAAGACTTGTTCCTTCCCTTACAGGCGGCAGTAGCTTAAGAAGATTCAAGCATTAGTCCCAGAGCAACACAAGTTGACCCCAGTGCAAGAGAAATGGTGCAAAGTGCAGCTAGGTAGAGAGAGGACTTGAGAGACCTCTTCCATTCCCCACAGCCTAGGAGGGGGCTGGCACAAACTCCCCAGTTCTCAGATGGCCCTCGGGGGGGACATAGAATGTGGCCGAAGAGGCAGCAGTGCCGCTGACCGGAGGGAAGCCTCATCTGCCAGGGATGTTGGCCCCATCTCCAGGCTCAGCCCCCACACAGTGGTGATGCTGAGACCTCAGACTACTCATTACAACTGGCCAGGGACAACTGGCCTCGGGCACAAAAGACAGAGGTTGTGCCCGAAAACCAGGAGACTCAAGCCATACCTCGACTACTGTCAGGAGAAAGCTTGCAGAAAAGAAAAAGGACAAGGAGGACTCTTCCTTCCCATCTTGCCTGCACCCAGATGGCCCCAGCGGGGTGAGGAAGGAAAATGAGAACCAGGAGAAACTCTCGAAGCAGTTTTCAAGCAAAAGAAACTAAGGTACTGCTAATTGTTGGGTTTATTTTGTTCCCCAAATGAGAAGGACTGGAGGCTGAAAAGCAAGGGTGGAATAGTTACAGAAAAAATTTGTTTTTTGCATTTAAAAAAAAAAAAAATTAGATGATGCCATCACATGGAATTCTCTGCCATAAAAAGAAATGAACTGTTGATACACACAACCCAGTCAACTACCAGGAAATGAGGCTAAGTGTAAAAGGCCAATCTCAAGAGGATATAGACTGCAACATATGGTTTATATAACAATCATGAAATAACAGAGAGCTGCAGAACAGATTCGTGGTTGCCCAGGGCTAGGGAGAGAGCTGGTGTGGATATGAAGGGGTAGCTCCACAGAGCATTATGGTAATGGTACAATTAAGTGTCTTAATTGTGAGGGTGGAGACATAAAGCTAAACAAGATACATATGATAATATATAAAGCTACACACGCACACACACATGTACACATACAACTAGTGTAACTGAAACAAGTCTGGATTGTGCCAATGTCAGTGCCATGGGTTTGATGTTGGATAAGAGTTATGTAAGCTGCTAACACTGGAGGAGCCTGGGGGAAGGGTGCAAGAGGACCTCCCTGTACATGTTACTATAACTTGCTCTCAGTCTGTATTTCCAAATAACAAGTTAACAAATATTAGGGGAAGAGCATCAGGTTGGCAACTTTCAGGTGGTGTATTATAGTTGTAATTTTGCTTTAAATTTAATTTCAATTTTTTTTTTTGTCATTTGTAATCATTTTAGGATTAATTGAACCTTTTCTCCACTCCATTGAAATGGATCATTGGAAATTTGGATCTAGGTATTTCAGCTGTTTCTCAGTTGCTCTGTTTCTGACACTGGGGTAAGCAGGAACCCCATCGAGATCAAGCACCTACCTTGCCATTTACAATCTCTAATCCAATGGCATCTACTTTGGCGCTGCTGATCCCCAGGAGGACACCGTTCTCAGAGGTGGTACGAAATTCCAGTGTGATGTTTATATCTGATCGGACTTTGTAGCCTTCCTTGACTGAAAAATACAAAGATAACCCCCAGTTAGGAGTGAGCCTGGCCCAAGAAGGCTCAGGGTCAAAGAGGTCGTGGGCTGGCTGGCTGTGCATTTTGGCTCCTGGCTCAGGAGGCCTGGCTCTAGCTCTTTCTCTGATCCAGCTCCATCCTCACCAGCAAGTCATTTCCACCCTCTGAGCCTCAGCTTCCTCATCTGTAAGATGAAGTGATGCCATTAAAGACGACCTACACCATCATCAGGGCTAAGCCAGACTAGAGTCAAGGCAGGCCCATCCTTTCATCTAGAGCCACTGAGGGGAAAAAAATCAGAAGGATTTGATCCATATAATCCCATCATCATCTAGCAGGGAATAGTCCACTCTATTTTCCCAATACTGGGTATGTCATCATATACTAGCATCCACACTAGGTGTTTTTAAAGTGGGGTTTTAATGAAATGGATATTTTATTTAGGTGATGGGAAAGCTGAAAAACCAAACTGGGACTATATAGCAGGCAGTCGTTCAGTACAGGGTTAAAGGGGAACTGGGAGCAGGTGGGGTGACCAGAGCTGGGAAGCACTGAGTGAGGGGTGCCTGCTAGCTCGCCCACCCGTCCCTGACTCCCCCTGACTCCCGCCAGGGCCTCCCTGGAAGCCAGATAAATGCGGCTCCCTGCAGAAGAAAGCGGAACAGAGGCCAAGAGGAGCAGGGTCCTGAGTGCAGATAGGAGGTTAACAGCAAATACGGACACCAAATGGAGAGGGAATGCCAGATACATTACAAAGGCTGGTTCTAAGCCTTGAGGAATTTACATTCTAAGGCACTTTAGACATTTAAATTCCTCTACTTAGGATCAATATTTTCAACAATCTCAATGGAGTCAGTTTCTTCATCAAACCTGACTTGTATTTGGCTGGCTGGTCTAGATATTTTATGCTGACTTTTGTCAAAGGCCTTTATTAACTTGAGCAGTGACAACATGCCTTACATAAATTTAGGGGAAATGCAGATGAAACCAGCGCCACATGTGTGCCCTCTGCCAGGAGGTGCAGCACTGCTGGTGGGAGCAGGCTTTGTATTAGAGTTGAGAAATCCGGATAAACTGGAACACTAAGTTAACTGTGGTCTTGCTGTAGCCTTGTCCAGGAGTCCTGTCCTAGCATATCATTCTTGGGTCCATATCCGAGTGCAGGCTAAACCCAAAGACTTCTTTCATGTTGATAATACATACCAAGAGCTGCATATCCACTTCCTTCAAAGAAAGTTCCTTCCTGGCCCACTGTATAGCACCTGGTTACTGCAAATGCAGATATTGGGCTGTCCTTGTCCAGCTGTTTGCCATTCACTGTCACCTCCCCGATGCAGGCGGGGACACTGTGGGTGATCTAAACCAAATGAAAGGACAATAGATGCTCTAAGTTTAATGAGAAGGGCCAGGGTCAGTTTTTCCTATACTTCAATAAACATTAAAATATTAGCTTTTGGTTTTTAAAATCGAATTTTCACAATAGTTCACATAAATGTTTAATTGAAAGCTACTAGCTAGTAGTATCTTGGCTAATAATGCAGTAAAGGTGTTTTCTATTATTTGGATTAAGTAATGTGGAAATCAAGAATGCTGGGTTTTCGGGGCGCCTGGGTGGCTCAGTCGTTAAGCGTCTGCCTTCGGCTCAGGTCACGATCCCGGAGTCCTGGGATCAAGCTCCGCATCGGGTTCCCTACTCAGCGGGAGGCCTGCTTCTCCCTCTCCCACTCCCCCTGCTTGTGTTCCCTCTCTCGCTGTGTCTCTCTCTGTCAAATAAATAAATAAAATCTAAAAAAAAAGAATGCTGGGTTTTCTAATCTGCAAATACAAATCCACTGGACTTTCCTGAATTGTACCAAGGCTAAATGGCTGTGGAAAGGGAAATGTTCATTAACTAACAGGTAGGAAAGGCTGGCTGAGCTTCAAGGGCTTCCAAGGGGAAGCCCAAACACCCAATCTGGGGATGAGGTTTAAAAGGTTTGTATCATGCAGCCAAGCCCCAGGCTCAAACAAGATAATTTAACATTTTCCTTTACAAAAGAAAAAAGATAAAAACAGCCACAATAAAGGTAAAATGGGCTCCGTACAGAAAACGCTGCTTACGTTTCCAATGTTCCTGGCCCTGTACTCAGAGGGAAGGCCTCCTAGATACAGCTTTCCTTGCACATCCAACATGGTCCCATCTCCCACAGCAGTCACTGTGGGGGATTCCTGGCCATCAACCGTCATGAAGCCCTTTCTTTTAAAGTGCTCTGTCTTGACCTAGAACAAAATGAGAATATCCAGTTTTCAAGGAATCTGAGAAAACATTAACAGATATTTGTTTGCAACATCTGTTCATTATAGCTGTAAATAACCTGAATGAGATCCTAAAGGATGGCTCCAGTTTTTACAGTTGGTGTTGAGGAGCTGGAGCCTGGCAGGAGACTGGGGCAGGCCCAGGTAAAGCACACATTAGAACAGGAAGTACTCCCAAATCCTGTTTATAAGAAAGCAAATGCCATGATCTGGGCTCATTCACGCCATACACAGATGGGCCTGATTTACTTCTCATCAAGTCGAGAACATTTCTGGTACCTTTCATTCATTCCACCACTGTCTGCTCGGTGCCTGTTGGTGTCAGGCACTGAGCTAAGCCCTGGTGATACTTCAGGATGTCGCAAAGGTCCCGGCCTGCAAGGAGCTTATATTCTACAGGGGAGATACTAGACATAAAGCAAGCTAGGTCATTTCATGACCATGAACTGGATGGAATAAAACTTAGCATGAGTGATCACAAGCTTCCTGAGAACATACCGTGTGCCACCTGCCATCACTGATCAGTGCAGGGTGGGAGACCTTTGTTCTGCCTTTCCCAAGATCAAACAGGAAGTGAAGGTGGCCCCCATGTAGCTGGAGCGTGGCATAATCAACTTGGTTCTGATGAGCCATGTAGTAAATCAGACCGCTGGAGGCAAATGTTCGGATACTTAGCTGAACTGAGAGCCTGGGAAAAAACAAGAGCTCGGCCCTCAGAAAGGAATAAACTTTCACTTTTACTTTTAAAAATAACCTCAGAGAAAGAACCCAGTAGTTGTTTCAACCTTTATATTGAACATCTCGGCAGAGTCTCTCATTATTCATTCATCCATCCATTCATCCAATTAAGGGTTATCCCATATATATATCTGCCAGGAACTATTCTAGATGGCGAGGCTGAAGCAGTGAATAAAGAGGAATGTCCTTTCTCCCACAAAACTAATATTAGAAATCTATCCAACAAAATTGGGTCATGAGAGGCGAACTGGTGGTTGGTTCTATTAAGTAGTCAGGCAGGAAGCTCTGAACGACAGGAGCAAGCCCCACAAAGCTCAGTAGGATAGACCGGCATTTTGTTTTCGGACAGCACGGAGTATGTGAAAACAATGGCCTGATTTGGCGGGACAGCCAGGAACCCCCTAGCAGGGCTCCATGGGCGATGGCGGCACATGGCCACCGACAGAGGCTGGCATCTGGGCAGCCGCCCACAGAAGGACGCACAGCATCACCACAGTGCTCAGGGACGGGGACAGGAAAGGAGAGTGTGGCCCTGCCCTCGTGGATGAGGGGCTCTGAGAGGCAGTACTTAGATCTGAGGTGCAGTGGGGAGTCACGGCACTAAGGGGAGTGGGCGGGGCTTGGTTTACATCTTCGAAGGAACCTGCGATGTGAAGAAGCCATCGATGAGGCCGGGGTGGCAGCAGGCATGAGGCAGGGAGCTGTTGCAAGAGTCCAGAGGCCAGGTCGTGGTGGCTTCGACCAGAGGGATGTGGGGGATCTAGAGGGGGTGAACTAATTCATGAAATGTTCCAGAGGAAGAAGCAATAGGACTTGTGGACGCACTGAATTTGGAGAGGGAGGGAATGAAAGTAACCATCTCTAGGTTAGGGCCCTCGGCACCCAGGGGAATGGTGCTGATGGCTACAGAAATGGCAAAGACGGGGACAGCGGGTTTGGGGGAAGACTGAATTCTCTTTTGGTATGTCGATGTGGAGGGTCCTGTGCCAATCCACATGGAGGCGTGGAGGAGCCAGCCAGGTATACAGCTCCTGAGTCTGAAGCAGAGGTCAGGGCTAGACATGTGGGTGCTGGTGCAAATAAATGGTATTTTAAAGCCACTGAAATATGGAAGTTCACCTGGGAAAATACACAGAAGAGGCCCTGGGCCTTCTCTGGTGGAAGAGTAGCCAGCAAAGGAGACTGAGCAGGGGAGGACAGGGAGAGCAGGAAATCAGGAGCGTGTGGGTCTAAGACAGCCCAGTGCATGTGCTAATGCTGAGGGCCCAGCGAGGAAGGCCTCACGGGGATGTGGGCACAGCGGGTCTGGGATAACTGTGGCAAGAGCAATCGAGAAGTGAGGGGAGGCTGATTGGGTGGGTAGAGAGGAAAGGGGGCGGGGGGGTAGGCAGACTGCCACAGAAGGCAGCCTTTTGTTGTTGTTGTTGTTGTTTTTAAAGCAACTCTTTCAAGAAGTCTTGAAATACAGCCAGGATACTGTGGGGGTAGGGTGGGATGTGGAGTCTCTTAGAGTTTAAGTTAGGAACTACCAGAGAGGGAATGGTTACCAGCATAAACACAGTGCCTGGGTTTGAATCCTAGTTCTGCTGTGTGCCCTGAGCAGGCGACTTAACTTTCCTGTACCTCAGTTTCCTCGTCTATAAAATAAAGAGCGTACCTTCCTCATAGGATAATTATGAGGACTGAGTTGGGGTGTATGTGTTAAATACTAAGGCAGTCTGGGCACAAGTGTTTGCTCCTCTTGTTACCACTGATGCTGATGAGGGCGATGGCTCTGAGAGAGGTGATGCGCTCCAGAGGGCAAGCGAGAGGGCCAGTAGCACCCCTCCTCTGTGTTAGCAGGGGAAGAGGTACAAGGGTGGGACAGAGGCAGGGAGGCGGGGTGCTCTTTTTGGTAGTGGACAGATGAGGGAGTTCTCTGTGTTCCCTGAGGCAGTCATGGGCTGGGGCATGGAGAGAGGCTGTGGGAATGTACAGAGTTTTGAGATAAGAGAAGCTATGAGAAGTAAAAAAGCATGAACATATGAGAGAACTGTATTGGCTGCCCATGTAATCTGGAGGTTCCATCTGAAATTGCTGGCTTCAGGTCAAACCAGGGAAGAAAGAGATACACACTTCTACAGCCTTGACCACCAGTTTGGGTTCTGGCATGGATTAGCCAAGTAGGAGTTCTACCCAGGGCCAGTGTATGAAGGAACACGGGTATTAATGGTCTAGGCCCATCTGGTTTGGGGATAAACTGTGCTGCGTGGGGTGCAGAGGGAGGTGGTGGTGAGAAAGCATGAGGGTTTTGAGGTCTTGATGCAGTTGAGGAGCTGCTGGGATGGAAAGTAACAGTAGAAAGGAGGAGGAGGGGGTTGATTAATAGGATGCTTCAAATAGAGATTTTGGAGGTGGGATGGGTATTTACAAAGTAGGCCAGGGTATGATCATGGGAAGAGGGTGGCTGAGGAAAGCCCTCTGAAAGACAGGAACCAGAGGACTTGGAAGGTCAGATGTGGGGTGGTTGAAATCATGGAGAAAGATGGCCCGAGCTGTGGAACAAAGACACTGAGTCAAGGTCTGAAGCCAGTGGGATGGGGTCAGTGATCACAAGGGGCAGTAATGATGGGTACAGTCTGAAGAGTTTGGAGAAGAGGAGGAATGTGGAGTCTGGAGGAACCTTGACCAGTCCCAGGCCTTCTCTGAGGGATGTGAACTGGCTTAGCCAAGGAAAGGTCCTTGGGGACAAGGAGGTGTGAGAGCGAGAAGGATCGGGGGCAGACTGGTGAGGCACCAGGGAGTTTGAGGGGCACAGTGAGAGAGTTTGGGGGGACAATTTGATCAGATTATTAAGTGCTTACAATAGAGTAGGGTTGAAAGTCCAGATGATGATAGATCCAGAGGACTTGAGATTCTAGAACAAGAGTGCTTTAGAGAGATAACCTACCTGTGTACTTTCCTACATTCATACAGAGAGGCAGCAACCGGCCTTCACCAGAAGGGGTAAGGACAAACCACAGGAACCCCACTGAAGCGTCTACTGTGCACAAAGGCTGCATTCCTGTCCTCTGCCTTCTTGCTGCTGAAGAATACCTCCCGGGTTCATCTCTCAGTGAGACGCCTAATAAAGACTTTAGAACAATACCCACCTCTTTCTGACAGCCAGCTGATTGAAAGGCAACACGAAATGGCTGCTCTGCATGAGGCCAAACTGGTGAGCACTGGGGATATACTCTGGGGCTCTGTCCACAGCACACCGTTCCTATAAGAGATGCAGATGGACTCTCACCACACAGAGCCAGGGCCACCACTAACATGTACACAAGTTTTTCCATGAAAACCTCTCTGAAGCAATGGGATTAGAACACCAACAGCTACAAATATGTGTTGGCACAGACTTAATCTTTATATAATTTACTTGCTGTCTCTTTATCTATGAGAAGGCAATTGGAGCTTCTGTCTTTCACCTCAGTCCCACTCAAGTTTGCTTAAAATTCCCCTGAGTTTTCATCAGGGGAAGGGCCAGAGGGTATCAGCAGCTGCAGGAGCAGCTCCAGCACGTGCACCAGGAAACTGGAAGTGCCCACAGGCCCCTGGCCCGGCAGGGTCTCTGAGGGTGATGTCTCTGATTCCTCCTGGGCAGTAGCAAGGTACAGTGGAGAGGAGCCCGTGTGGGAGGGGGTCTGCTTGGGAACCTGCATCCTGTCTGACAGCTCCCTCCACAGAGTGAGTCCGAACCACATGAGGCATCAGACTCATATTTCTGGCTTGCGTGGGGCAGGGGGGTGCGCGTGGTGGTGCTACCAAGAAGAGAGCTGGCTTGAACTCAACAGTTGGCTCTGGTTGGAAGGTACTGCTCTTTGCGTGACTGCACCACCATCTACATACTTAGAGTGCATGCTTTTAACCAAGGAAATGGAGAAATCAGAAAAGGGAAAAGAAAATGAAAACTAAGAACTGCCATTAAAAATATTTGGTCAATACATATGCAATGGAATATTACTCAGCCATCAAAAAGAATGAAATCTTGCCATTGGCAAAGACTTGGGTGGAGCTACAGAGTGATGCTAAGTGAAATAAGTCAGAGAAAGCAAATACTATATGATTTCCCTTATATGTGGAATTTAAGAAACAAAACTGATGAACATATGGGAAGGGAGAAAAAAAGAGACTCTTAATGATAGAGAACAGAGTTGCTGGAGGGGAGGTTTGTGGGGGATGCGCTAGATGGGGGGTGGGCATTAAGGAGGGCATGGGATGTGATGAGCACTGGGTGTTACATGCAACTGAAAATTGCTGAACACTACATCTGAGACTAATGATGGTCTATATGTTGGCTAACTGAATTAAAAAAAAAAAAAAGAAAAGAGTAAGGAAAGCCCCTCTTACCAGACTTGGTAAAGGCTGGGGCTGTGGCAGGCGCTCACTGTCTTCTCCATGAAGAGCCAGCTTTGGCCTTTCTGAAAGTAAGCAGGTGTCCAAGTCCACCTGTTCATTGCTAGCCGCACTCGTGAAATCCAAATGTCTAGATACAGAGTGTTTACAAAATTAAGATACTACAAGTCAAACATAAACCAATGTCATTTGACTCTTGAGCACTAACATCCATGCCGAACTGCTCATCTCTTACTCTTACGGTAACCAAGCTGACCGTCTTCCATGGCGACTGGTATCCTCCCGTTTGATTCTTGCCGCCCCTGCCCCACGTTGTCCACCTGGCCACCACCCCTCCAGAGCCAGTTCAGGTGCCACCAGCCCCTCCTGCAGCCTGGGCCGGGGCCAAGGGAAAGACTGGCTCTGGCGCTCACAGTAGTGCGCACACTGGCCTCACTCAAACACTCATTTCTTTCCTTCTGACAGGTTTACAGCTGCCAGGAAGTCATGAAGTATACTTGCCCTAATTCCCTTTACTCTGCAGCCCTTGCAACATGTCCCATCTGCCTTTACCCTCTTGGCACTTTCTGGGGACATGGCTGTGAACAGCACAGAAACGTTTCTGCCCTATGGAGTTCCCGGCCTCATGGCTTTCAGTAAGAAGAAGATGCCAAATCAGTTGGTACATTTATAAACAGAACTGGGTGAATAAATAAATCAACTGTACAAATAAGTAAACCAAGGCTCTGACATTAGAATTGTGCTGAAACCCAATATATCGTTTTATTCTTTTAAATTTCAAGGACTCTTAAGAGATTCTTTTATAGAGGACACGGTGACCATCAAAGATCCAGGTCCTTGTTCGCGGTCTCAAGGCAAAATCAGCAGCCCAGCTAGGAGGGGAACCTCGGTCTCCTGACGCTCAGCACATGCTCAGTTTCTCCCAGGCAGACTCTGGCTCTGCACCCCCCCCACCTCCAGCTCATAGCACAGCCTTTGTCCCACCAGCACTCTTACCTAGGCAGAGGCTGAGTGAGGAAGAAGTAACCACCCATGGGCACAGTTCTCTTCCTCATCATGAGCCCCCCAGAGGAAACAGACTAACAGTTCTTAGACAGTCCGTGTTTTAGGAGGAACCATTAATAATCTGAAGTTGCAAGTAGCCCAGCTGTAAAGGCTCCTTAAAGCAGTGAGCTCAAGGCAGCAAGAAACCTGCATCACAAAATCTCTCTATTCCCTGAAATGCAGGTCAAAAGTGTATTTGACCTCTGATGTTTATTGATGGTCCTATCGAACTAATGTTCAGTGGTTATTTTTTTTTTTTTTAATTCTAGGATTACCAGATCTATCCATCATTCTAATCCAATGAAATCCATTTGGGTGACTGTTGTGATAGAACAATGGAGTTCACTTATTATTCAGAAACATAGGATTTAGGCAATCTCAAACAACAAAATTAGATAGATCAGTGTCAGTACTCAGCAATAAAAGATTTCTAGGAAGTACAAAAACATGTTGAGAGCAGTTATACTTACTCCATATTAAAGATCAGGTTTTTGATACAGCCATGGAATGATCTTCTCATCTTGAGCACTGATGTCCCTTCCCTCTCTGGAATCCCCCCTATGTACAGCTTGGATACATTTATTGCCCTGCTTTCTGCTGAGGGGCCCAACTTCATTTCTACAGGATTCATCTCATCCATTTGGACAGTGATAACTCTAAAAGGTCAAAGGAGGGGAAAAAAAAAAGCTTTTAAATATAATGAAACATAACTGTCTATTTTAATATATAATTCCACAAGTTCATACTGAATGAGAAAAGTTCATACTGAAATATAAATTTTTAACATGACACTATGTGAATAAAAAGGTGAATCTTGAAAATGAAAACTTACAATTGAACATTCTCCCCAAATGAATAGGTGTTATTAAATACTGTTGAGTTCAATTGCTTTTTGGAGGCTATTGTTCTTTTACTTTATCTGTGATGAAATGTCCAACATGCTTTTAAAATGTTTGGTCTATAGTTTTGGAGGGAAATACATAGGGATGTTGATATAACACTACTTACTATTTTACTATTTGTATTTTACTGTTTACTATGTTACTATTTACTGTTTTTTCCATTTGCTTTTTTAGTATTAATGCAATGTTATTTACTAACACTATGGTACTATTTGCCACAGAATTACTCTGATCTAAGACAATGTAGACTAGGCCCCAGAAAAGAGCAGGGTTAACGTTTTTCAGTTTTGAAAATTCCACAAATATCTTATTTCAAAGCAGATGAAATTAATTTCCAGGGAGGTATTCTAGCAAGGTTCCAGAATTATTATGGAGCTATAAAATCTCTGAATGCTCATGACCTCATACTAATCATCCCAATCATTTCACTGCAAAGAGTATCCTAACAATGTTCCTATTGGTGAGGTCACCATGCCCTTGTACACAAATACCTCCCGGTCCTTATCAAGGAAATGGAATGCTCTTGTCCATCGCCATATGTGCCCTTGGGAGCACGCAGGAGCGCTCTTCTCAGGCTGGTTCCATCCCCAGAGTTAACATGAACTTCAATGTAGCCTCCAATCAGCGTGATGGAAAAGAAGGGCTGGGAAGGTTGCTAAGAGATTTCAGATAGAAAAAAACATTACTACGTGATTTTTAAAATTATTATCTTATGAAGATAATGTTGGAATATTAATAAATAAGCAATTTATTAAGAACATCACTATCTCCATCTGACACAGCTTTTTTTTTCTTTTAAAGATTTTATTTATTTATTTGACAGAGAGAGAGAGACGGTGAGAGAGGGAACAGAAGCAGGGGGAGCAGGAGAGGGAGAAGCAGGCTTCCCGTCGAGCAGGGAGCCCAATGTGGGGCTCGATCCCAGGACCCTGGGATCATGACCTGAGCCGAAGGCAGACGCTTAACGACTGAGCCACCCAGGCGTCCCTGACACAACTCTTTTATATTTTGTATATGACTTTCTAATCTTTGCTCATATAACTTACATTCGGCATTATGCTCATATCACTAACCATATCAAAGATTTCCATTTCTACATAGCCTTCATACTTTTTATTGCCACATTATGTGCCAACAAATAGGTACATTATAAGTATTGATCAATTTTTTATTGTTAAAAATTTAGTTTCCAATTTTTTGTTACCATACATAACACTTTTTGCCTGTGAAATTGTTTCTAACATTTCTAAAAGTGAGATTAAAAGGCTGAAGAGTTTGGAAATTATTAAAGCTCTGAGAACTATTTTGCCACATTGAAAATAGCTCCACCAGCAGAACTGGAATATGAGTATCTCACAATATCTTTGTGAGCCTTGGATGACCACATACCATGTTACTGACATAGCAGCAAACCCATTAGCAAATGGTTCTATTGAGAATGGTGGAGGAAAACAGTCTGTCATTTCTTCAAAAAACGAACCATAGAATTATCATGTGACCTAGCAATTCCACTCCTAGGTATATATACTCAAAAGAACTCAAGGTACTCAAATGAATACTTGTACGTGAATACTTGTTCATAGCAGCATTATTCATAATAGCCAAAACACAGATACAACCGCAAGTGTCCATCAGTGAATAAATTATGCTGTGTACACACAGCGGGGTATCAATTCAGCCATAAAAATGAAGTGCTGACACCTGCCACAATGTGGATGAAGCTGCAAAGCACGCTAAGTGGAAGACACGGAAGATCACATTCTGTGTGCACCCATTTCTATGAAATGTAGAGAACAGGGGAATTCACTCATAGATACAGAAGAAGACTGGTGGTCACCAGGGATGGGTAGTGACTGCTTCATGGCACAGGCTTCTCTTTTGGGGGATAAAAATGTTTTGGAACTAGACCGAGGTGGCCTCTCAACATTGTGAAAGCATTAAATGCTACGAAGTTTTTAGTTCACTTTGAAATGGTTACTTTTATGTTCTATGAATTTCATCTCAACTAGGAAAAAAAGGAAAAGATGGGTGGAGTCCATACACCACTATGTCATTGTTAGATCTTCACCAAGCGGCTCGGGAGGCATGAGGGGTCTGCAGACTGGTGTTCCAGTCCTGGCTCTGACCTAGATCAGCTGGGTGACCTTGGGCAGGTTACCAAGGTTCTCTGAACCCATTTCCTCCTCAGCAAAATGTAGGAAGCAGCATTCACCCTGTGGCGTGGGTGTGATAATCATACAGCAGTGTCTGTACAGTCTTGTGCGCGGTAGAGGACGGCACACTGCGAGCGGCACTTACGTGGCCGCTACTTCATTAAGACAATACATTACCATTCGGTAAAGCCCCTTCAGATTACATGATATATGCAAGTCTGAGCAAAGGAAAGGCTAAATATCATCTATGCTCTTAAAATGGAATACAAATATGGAAAACCAACTTTCTTCCGCTGGCCCACTGTGTTTATCACAGGCCACATTTCTCTTTCAATCCTATTTGTAGATAAGGAAAATTGTGCTTCCTGGAGCAGTATACTAAGAAACTCTACAGAACTTAAGGATTTACTGTCTTAGCCTTAGAATAAAGAGTAACAACTGTAACGTGGAAAAAAGCTCAGTTTGTGCCATCTGAATGAGCTTGAAAAGAATTAGAGGTAGACAGCAAGTATCTTTCTTCTCAGTAGCTAGACAAGGAAAATGGATTGTGTAACAGAGAAATCCCTGATTCATAGGGAAAAGACATTCAGCAGTGTAACTCCTACTCACTGAAATGCACACTCAAACTGGCCACACAGCTACAATAAATGTTCATGACTAAGTCATTTTCCACCTAGTGTTTCTCAAAGTCATTTCCTTCCTTAGCTCCTGACTGAATAGCAATAGCATTTGAGCTACTCACCCCATGGGCCCGCAGATGACCCTGCTTCTCCCCCTGCCTGCCCAGGGCAGCCAGGATGATGCCACTGCTGTTCTTGGTGGCAAATGTGACCAACAATTCCGATTCTGGTGACAAAGACTTGGGTGACAGTTCAATGTAGCCGCCTTTCAAGAAGCTAACACTTCGGATAGGCTGGTCACAAAAGAGAGGAAGGAGCACCATCAGGCCCACCTGAATGCTGCATCGCCCGTAGTGGGGGTTACTGCAGGTCTCCCCATCATCCCTTTCCCATCCTTCCCCCACTCCCGGCTTAGATTTTGTTACCTCACTATATTGGTAAGTCAGTGGACATTTATAGAAACTCATTCCAATATTAATAAAATGCTTCCCACCTCCAGTATACAGCCTTTTCTCACGCCGTAGGAATTTCTGTGTAAATCAAAGGTTGATCTGGATATTTCCAGGTTTTTGATACAGCCCACATAGCTTTTGCTGGTGACACCTTTCCTGTGGGGAAGGCATGAGAACAGAATTTGCCTTTTATAACTCCATTTTTGAAAGAAGGAATAAAAATAAAAATAGATCTACAAGTAAAGAAGAGCTGCTTCTATATCTCATTCTGCAGAAATGTCTAGGTCTCTAAGAAGGATACTGATGGTGAAGACTTCAGGTCAAATGAATGCTCTCCTTAGGACCAAAGAAAGGGGTTGAATTCAGTGAATTAGAATTGCTAAGAGATTCTAGCTAGATGGCTACCTAGATAAAATGTTTAATATTTTAAGGAAAAGTATAGTCACTGCAGTTTAAATATACTCATTAAAACACAGGCAATTATGAAAGACAGTACACAGTCATAAAGAAAAAAAATGGCACACAGACTGAAATCCAGGTTTCATGTAGGGTAGAACATGGACATAAGCCTCCCATGGAAGCAAGTGTGGACAGTGTTATTTCCTAGGATCACATGGCTACAGAAGTCACTGGCCGTTGTCCAACTACACAGTCGTGAGCTTTGTCCTGAAGGAAATAATTGCATTTGGTGAAGTCTAGGATTATCCAAATCCTCATTTCTTCGACTCCAAATCAGTACCATAGTTTTCTTAACAGAAGTTGCCACACTGCTGGCTGGGGTGAGGCTGTCATGTAATCAAGCTCTCATTTCCCAAATATGGAGATGACTGAACATCTCCAAGCTATACTCTGAAACATCAGCTAGTCACAGGAGAACTTGGAAGTCACATGGTTTCCAGTCAGGGTCTCATCTCATGTTTCTCTCCCTCTGTGTTGAGCAATGAGCTGTAGACCAGTAGGCAATTACTTGATTTAGGACAGATTTCGACCTTTCTGGATCTCAGTTTCTTCCTTTGTAAATGAGGAGGCTGGCCTTGATAGATACCCAAAGTTTCTTCTAGCATAAAAGTCTGTGATTTGGGATATCCTCCTAGAAAATGGGACCTTTTCTCCAGTGTCTACATGGTGTCCATTTAGGTCCAGTACAGATGAGCTGTGACACAGCTTGTTGCTATAGGAGCATCCACCCCTGCTGCCACCATGTGAGGAAACGTTATCTGGAATCTGGGATTAGGAGACAGGCTTCCAGTTCTGGCTCCATCTTGGCAGAGGGGTAAGACCTGGGGCAAGTGACCAACTCCCCTGAAGTTTAATTTATTTCCAAGATGGGCTAGGGGTGTGGCGACTGTGGTGGTAAACTGTGTTCCTTGGAACTTTCTGGCAAAGAGAAGGGGTGAGGAGTGGATCTGGGCTGCTCAACTTACAGCACCCAGAGTGGCTGCACTTGCATATGGCTTATTAGGATTCCGTGCAAGAACTCAGCTGCAAGACGGGATAGTGCTACTAACTTACCTGAAGACCACTGGGTTGGGTGACTCAATCTGGACATTTGATAAACCCACTCCCTGGAATCCCTCTTGCCTTGACTGCTGGCCTTTCATATAGGACTTTTTTTTTTTTTTTAATGGTGTGAAAGAAACTTAGGGCTTAATTTGTCCAATCCAAAATTACAAAACTGAGGACAATGACCCACAGAAAGCTTATGTCAATTATTAAAGTAAAGTCACAAAGCTAAACATGAATCAGTGTTACAAAACGATTTCATTGCCTCCTCTGCCATCTTTCTTCCACCTTCCTGATGCTGGTCTTTCAGCTTTCACATACATTATTCATTCTCATCACACAAAGGGGAAATCCAGACAAGTCTGCAGAGAGCATGATTTTTTTGCCCTGAAAAAGATTCTACTAAAATCTCTAGTGAGGAGAACAACTTGTGATGGAAAATGGGGTCTCCAAATACTATATAATATTAGTAACAATTAGTAATGATTTCTAGATGTTCTAAAGGCAACAAATAGAAAAATCATTAATTTTACTGCAGAAGGGTTTCTTTACCTCCCAATTAATATGACAGTGGTTTGAATCAAGGCAGATGGTATGGGTTAAAATTTGTCCCCCACAAAAGATGAAGTCCTAACCCCCAGTACCTGTGAGTGTGACCTGATTTGGAAATAAGGTCGTTACAAATGTAATCAAGTTAAGATGAGGGCATTAGGGTGGTTCCAATAGGACCGGTATCCTTATAAAAGGGATATTTGGACACAGAGAGACGCACACAGAGGGAAGACAATGTAATAAGACACGGAGATGTTATCTATAAGTTGAGGAATGCCTGAAGTTGCCAGAAGCTAGAAGCGAGGCATGGAACAGATTCTTTCTCACAGCCCTCCAAAGGAAGCAGCTTTGCTGACACCCTAATTTTGGACCTGTAGCCTCCAGGGCTGTGAGAGAGCACACTTCTGTTGTCCGTCCCCTGGCTTGTGGTGCCTTGTTATGGCAGCCCTAGGAAGCTAACACATCTGGCAATTATGGGCATAATTATGGCATGTGATATACCTTACAACTCTTGACCTAGGTAATCCACCCACATAAATTGGATCTTTATCTAGACGATTGAGGTCAGAAGATGCTCCTGGAGTTTCACCTTGCTTGGTTTCTCTATAATTGGTGTTATATGCATCAATAACTGCTAGGATTCCTAAAAAGAAGAGACAGGAAAATGAAAATCATTTTCTACATTAAGGTAAAAACAAAGTTCACTTATAAGTTCTTTCTTTATAAATTCTTTCACATTCTGCACATTTGACCAGGGAGTATTCTTGACTATTAAAGGGCACATGAAAATCCTCTGTACAAAAGTCAATGAATCCAGAATACATATCACTGAATGACAGCAGTATGTATGTGGCAGGAAAGAGAATGGATTTGATCTTTGATTCCAATACAGTATTTAATGTTACGTAATACACTTGGAAACCATAAAAAAAATAGAATTCTAATATTCCCCCAGCAAAATGTGAATCCTGGCATTTAGTATTTCAAAGAAAACAATGGCTTTCTATCAGAATATCATTCAAGAGTACCCAAGAAGCTAAAGTAAATAAAGACTGCTGATTTTGGAAGGATTTCTTTTTTTCTTCTTTCCTTCCTCAATCCCTCCCTCCCTTCTTTCTTTTCTTTTCTTTTTTTTTAAGTTTTTAGAGACAAGAGAGAAGGGGGAGAGGGAGAGAGAGAATCCCAAGCAGGCTCCATGCCCAGTGGAGAGCCCAACGCAGGGCTCGATCTCACAACCCCGAGACCATGACCTGAGCCAAAATCAAGAGTCAGACATTTAACCTACTGAGCCACTCAGGTGTCCCTGATTTTGGAAGGATTTCTGTTCCTACAAGGGTGACCTGTAACATCTCATTGCCCTTCTGTGTACTTAACTTGCTTTCGGTTTCTCTGGAAGGCGATTTTGTACCAGGTTCCGTTGTTATAGCGTCTGTCTGTAATAAGGGCAAGAGGTCCTGAACCCAGGTCAACTGTAACTTTGACTCTGCCGTGCACCAGCTCGATGGATAAAAAGTCTTTCTGTGAAGAAGAGAAAAGAGTTACCCAGGGCTATATCGTTCTCACAGATGCCCTCTCCTTTCAAGTTGCGGATGGTAGAAACCTTCCAAAGTCAAACTCCGAAAACTGGATCTGGCCCAACAGTCAGAGGTCTCTGTTGGAAACTGAAGTATCTGGGAAGACTTTCTAGAATACTACACAGATATAAAGGAGAGAAACACACTATTGCCAAAATCTACAGTAAGAGAAGTGCAATCTTTGTATCTTCTTCATTTAGATCGACAAATGGGCCAGTCCTACAAATAAAACTAGAAGATTGAGAGAAATCACCCCCACAATAGGATAAAAATAACATTAAAGTCCTGTAGATGGAATTCAAAGAAGGCCACAGTGATCAGAGTAACATGGAACAAGATAGAGGAAAGTCAAAATTTAATAACAAGTATCATTGATAATCTATAAATGATAGGATGGCTCTTTTCTACTTGGTGCTCTCCTGTATTTTGCAATGGTTCTCCAGTGAATTTATAACATAATAAATATTTAAAATGGGGAAACAGTATGGCATACATATGTATATCTTATATTCGTATATGCTCATAAAGCAGTCATTAAACATAAATATCCTCATAGCAATTTCACTGTATATACTTACAGTGCCATTTGAAGTGAGGTAGAGAAGAAGACCATTGGGTGAAAATGTACTAAAAAGCATAATTATATGAGTCCCCGTAGCCCGGAGCGTTCTCTCCACGACCGAATACCCACTCCCATCAAAATGGAAGGAAGAGTCTTCATTCTGGGGGCTGCAAAGCAGAGCAGATGAAACACAGTCTATTCTCAGGAAGGTGGTTAAAGAGAAGAAACGATACCTTTCCTGAGGGCTTCCCCTCACAAACATTATGGTAGAGCTATTATTTCCATAATTTGATAACGGGTGTAAGTCATATCTTAAAATATGTTGCCATGAGAGTATGCAAGACAAATGCCAGTTGCTTTCTAAGGCAAAGAAAGTTAATGTAGGCAGTGTTCACTGTAGTAAGAAGAAAGGTCTTCAAAGGATGGATAACTGCTATAAATATTTCTACTTAGCAAGTAGATTTTCATTTGTTCTGATTTCCTTTAATGTCACCATCCTTTCTTAATTCCAAAGCTTTCGGAGTAATTTTTTCTATTAACATTTTATCACCTTCTGCTGGTTTTAAGCAATACTTCAGCTAACCTGGAATAATGATGGAAAACAAATATGTACTAATATAGCAGAAGGACCATTTTACCAAAAAAAAAATCATTGACAACAATGAAAATCTCAAAAGTCTACAGGATGAGCTTACAACAAAGTTATTTAAAGTAGACCTCAGTACTTCTCAGGTCAGTGTGTTTTCTGGTTGCCCCCATACCTCAAAAGGCTGACTTTATTCATTCTTCAAGTACAAAGTAAGTTTATCTGGAATATATCCTAATACATTTTAAAAACACGTTTCTGGGCTTCACAGTGAAACCTGGATTCGGGTGTTTTGGGGGAGAATATGAATTTGCACTTTTCCCAGTTGAAGGCATAATACCCAAACTCAGTGCCACATCTCCAAGCAGGACATGTAACCAAACAGTGACACTGTTTCCATTAACAAAAATAGCAGTGCTTTGTGAAACCCGAGGTTTCAAATTGATAGCTTCCCACAGTCCTGCTTTTTCCAAAGATTTCGGTCTTTTGACATCTCTTAGAAGTATAACTTAAAGGAAATGCACTCTGCATGAAGAAGCTATGGCTGAATTCTCTATTATTTCATTCTGAAACCTGTGACTTCCTGTGCAGGCATGTTCCATTGCTCTGTCTCTTGGCTGGTCACAGTTTCATGCGGCTAAGCACACAGACTCTAGAACGAGACTGCTGGGGTTCAAATCCCTGTCTCCCCATTTGCTAGCTGTGAGAACTCAGGAAAGTTACCTAATGTCTCTGTGCTTCATTGCCTTCATCTATAAAATAAGGAAAATAATAGAAGCTCTCAGGAAGGGCTATACATGATTTAATACATGTAAAGTTCTTAATTAAACAGTGCTTGGTACTTAAATGTTCACTCCAGTTAGCTTTGATTATTCTGCTTTGTTCAAAGTTGCCTGAAGGGTCACCATTTTGCCTATTAAAAGCTGAGCCTCTTTTTTTTTTTTTTTTTTTTTAAGAAGATAGCAGGAGGGGAAGAATGAAGGGGAGAAATCGGAGGGGGAGATGAACCATTAGAGACTATGGACTCAGAGAAACAAACTGAGGGTTCTAGAGGGAAGGGGGGTGGGGGACGGGTTAGCCTGGTGATGGGTATTAAAGAGGGCATGTACTGCATGGAGCACTGGGTGTTATATGCAAACAATGAATCCTGGAACACTACATCAAAAACTAATGATGTACTGTATGGTGATTAACATAACATAACATAATAAAAAAAAATAAAAGAACAGTTAAAAAAAAAAAGCTGAGCCTCAAAGATTAAATATCTTGTCCAAGGCCACACCCAAGATAATGGAGAAACCAGGTTTCAAACAAAACTCCAGAAATCTGTCTTGTCCTGCTGTGCATGCTTTGTCCCTCTCCAGAGCTCGTGAGTTCTCTGTTCTCGAGAATGGGAATGCTCTGCTTCTGGCTTCTCTCCAGCAGCAGGGCCTGGCCACATGCGGTGGCCACAAAGAGGGACACATTCAAATGAAACCATGTTTGAAGGCGCACCTCCTGAGGTTTTGCTCCCAGGTCAATGACACTCTTCTGGGGCTTGTCCCCTTGTGGCCATGCTTCCGTTCTATAACCACGAGGCCCACAAGCCTCACCAGTGAGCCCAGGTGCCTGTTCCCAGGTGGGCCACAGGAAGGCAGTTCCCGGCCCCTGCCCAGGCAAGGGACTCTGGGACAAATGAAAGCTGCACTGCCAAAGCAACCCTCGCTCCCCAGCTCTCAGCGCAGTGAGCCGTTAAGAATCACTAAACCTCTGATGCAAGCTCTCATGCCAGGGGGTCACGCCAGCTGTACTACCCATCAGCACTCGGGGCAGCTCTACGAGAGTGAGCGGGGTCCTGCCTGGGCCCCGGGCCTCTGAAGCCACTTCACCTGTGCCTCCGCTCGCCGCAGCGCAGAGAACCGCCTCTGTGCTCCCACAGGTGTCTCTCCTAGAGACCAGGAGATGTTGGAGGAGATCACCTCCTGTGACTAACGCTGACATCGCCAACAGCTAGCAGGGGGCCCAGAACACAGGTGACCGGTCTGTCCCAAAGGTCCCGACACAGCCTGTCGCAACAGCCACTCATAACTAATACAAGAATAAAGACCTGCTAATAAAAAGGCTTTTTCCATATTTAGATGAAAACTGTTAGAATCCGTTGCTTATTTTATAATATCCTTTAAGAATTTAAGAGATCGTTCATAATTATAAACATATATTCAAAGAGGAATAAAAAAGCAAAAAAAATTTCAGTTCATTTACTTGGTAATATAAGTCAAAGGTAAATGTTCATACTGAGAAAATCATTTTTTAAATCTAAAGGACATCAATGGACCACACTAATGATCTAATAATGGCAGATTACACAAAAAGGTCAAAAGCACATTGAATTCTAATCACCAGTCTGCTAAAAGTGATTCATTTCCTAGAATTAGTTTGTTAATTCAAAGCTAAAGTCTTCGTCTAATAAGTAGGGGAGGTTGCCTAAAATGAAGACAAATCAATTTACAAACACGGACAGAGAGCGCCAGCTTGTCTGTCTCTGCACCTGCCACTGTATGTTCTATGGAACATAAGCAACTCTGAAATGCTGCTTTTTAAAAAGCTGGGGACCAGGTGAGTTTGGGAATGCTGCAACTCCACCTGTCCTGAGGACACGGTTAGTGCGTGTTAGCATACTAGAGGCTCTCATGGCCTCACAATAAGGAAGTGTACTTAACTGTTTAACTCAGGGCTTCCTAACCATTTATGGTCAGGACACACCTTCTACCCCCACTTAGAAAAACGTATCTAGGGGCGCCTGGGTGGCTCAGTGGGTTCAGCGTCTGCCTTCAACTCAGGTCATGATCTCAGGGTCCTGGGAGCGAGTCCTGCATCAGGCTCCCTGCTCTGCAGAGAGCCTGCTTCTCCCTCTCCCTCTGCTGTTCCCCCTGCTTGTGCTCTCTGTCTCTCTCTGTGTCAAATAAATAAATAAAATCTTTTTTAAGAAAAAAGTATCTATTAATATCCTATCAAACTAGTGTTCTTTTAAAAAGCATACTTTAGATACAGTAGTCAATGTAAGAATAGCCAGCTGATTTGTTCGGTACTCAGAAAAACATTTAATCAAACTTTTGATTGAGCTAATCAGTCAGTCTGGCCCTAAGGTTCAGCTGGGTGGTCAGCCCTCTACCAAAAAAGCCAGTTCCAGGAATAGGGTCAGGAGGATGGAAGTACCCGCTAATCCCTCCTCTTCGTCTGTGGCAACCTTCATGTTCTGCTGGGGGTCTCAGGGGTTGGACATGTGGTGGGAGGTTTTTCTTCTCTTTGAAGAAGAAAGGCCACATAGACAACTGACTTCCTCATTCCAACAAAAGAGGAGAAGAGCTAGCAGTCATTCAATTCCCTCATTGCTGCAATTCAAGGCCAGAGGTTTTAAAATAACCCTGAAAATGATGGGTGAAATTGGGGATACTATAACAGCTAAAGTAGGGGGACATTTTCCATATTAGAAATTTTTGAGCTCTGTTAAGTAAGTTACTCTGTTACTTTCCACAAGTAAGATTCATGATCTGGGGTCAATGTGGGGCCCAGGGTCCAGGGGTCAGGACAATTTTCAAGTTAGAATCACTGAATTGCTGGGAAAACCTCCCTGCTAAAAAAATAGCTGGAGGAAAAAGTGATGGGGAGTTCTCTGCTCCTAGAGTTCTAGACCTGGTGTCATTATCATTTTTGATCTCACTTGCCAATTACAAAACCTTGGGTTTCACACGTTTATTGTCAAGCAAATAATTCTGAGATGTCCACCTAAAAAGCAACAGACTGTGACTGCAGGAAGATCAGAGGTGAACACTGGTGCAGTGTCTCAAATTTATCAAGTATTTTCACATATATCATGATAAGTGCTCATCACCAGTGTTGGGAGGTAGGACAACAGGATTTTCATTTTCCTTTTCTGGAAGAAGCAGCCAAGTCTCCATGAGGTGAAATGACTTATTAGGAGAGGGAGCCTGAGAAACTGAGACTCCAAAGCTAATATTTTTTTCAGTCATAAGGCTCCAATAACCAAGCTTCTGGTCATGACTTTGAAAGCAAGCAAAGTCAAGGGAAAGCAGCAAATAAAAGGCTCAAACCTTTTTGAAATCCCAAGCTATGAGCCCTAAGAGAAAACAGATCTGACAGTAACAAAATGAAAACTCGTCCACGTTTCTAAATGTAATGGGAGTTGCTTTCAACTGATCTTGTCACAGCTCAGTGTTAATTGCAGATATCTATCTGGACAGAGCAGCCCATTAGATGACAGAATTTTTTTTTTTTTTAAAGATTTTATTTATTTGAGAGAGAGAATGAGAGAGAGCACGAGAGAGAAGAGGGTCAGAGGGAGAAGCAGACCCTCCGCTGAGCAGGGAGCCCGATGCGGGACTCGATCCAGGGACTCCAGGATCATGACCTGAGCTGAAGGCAGTCGCTTAACCAACTGAGCCACCCAGGCGCCCTAGATGACAGAATTATATCAGATGTTACATTTCTCTAATGGCAGAGGCAATCTATTGTCTTAATTATGAAAGAGCTAGAAAATGAGTCTTGTATACTTCTGGGGTTGCAGTTATCTTTTTAGAAAGTAAAACGGGGGCTGTTGAGCTCAGTGAGATTATTAAATGCCTGCTATTATATATCAATATCTGCCAAACAATGTCAGGTAGTTGTTCTCCATTGCCAAAGGCATTTAATTTCTAGGATTCTAGAATTTAAGAATGGGAAAGTACTTATCTATAAAAACTGGCAGCACAAACAAAATCCTCATCCTTGGAGATATTTTCAAAATAAAGATGTACAGTGATTTACCTAAGATTTCCCTGCGGCTCTCTGAGACAGAAGGTGGTTTGAGAGGATGTGTGATGTTTCTCAGTGGTATGATCCATGATGAAAGCATACGAGACACGGTGAAAACCACCTCTTAAATTAAGGTTAAAAATCATGCCCATGCTCCTATTAGTAAATGACCTATCATGACCGACATGACAAACTCTGTGCCACCGTGATGGGCATGTGAATTCTCTAAGCAGCTCTTGGATGTGAATGACACCGTGTAGTAAATTGTGGGGCCCGTTACCTTCCAAAGCAGCCATGGCACTTGCCCTCCCGTTCAATATAGTTCCACAGGCCGATGGACTGTCCGTTCAGGAAGGCCTCTCCCATGCAGCCTTTAAAATGAGTAACCTTCACAGCGGGAGACTTCTAATATAAACAAACAAAACAAACACAGCCACATGGATCAGGGAAAGGAATGCATTCTCCGTGCACACAAAACTCCTTCCTGGGAGCTCAAATTTAACATCCAAAGTCTGAGAAAACAACATCCAGAAAAATGGCTGGGTTGTGATCACTGGATTTTCTCCCAATTATTAAGTGGAATCATAGAACGAGTGATAACCAGACAGGATCTTAAAGATCACCTGGGTTACCAGGGTCCCTGGAGAGAAGCCCCTTACAGGTGAGGAAACAGGCTCAGAGCATGTTGGTCAGTGGTGAGGGCCTGGCTGGGACTGACACCCTTCCTCTTAGAGCACCAAACCAAATCCAGGTGACTCAACTTGATCCGGTAAGGGGATAATGGGTATAATAAAATAAATCCCACTGGCTCTGGTGCTAAACACTAATCACCATTATTCTACCACTGGAGTCAGAATAGCAATAAGAGAAATTACAGAAATGAATGCAGAATACTGAATTTCCTGTTTCAGTCCTAGAAAAGAAACTCAAATAGCAAAATGGAACATTGGCTTCTTTTCCATTTATGATCTTTATTCGACAGGATCCTTTGCTTTATAAAACCAGCCCAACTCTGCAAATTTACTGTCATTAAGCAAAATAATAGAAACCAGAAATATTCATCTACCTGGGATATATTCAATAATTTAAGCACACTAGTTTTAGGTAAAAGCAGCCTGTCAGTCCCGTTCAGATGAATGTCTGGAAAGTTACCTTGATCTGTCCTCCAAGCCCTCCAACAAACATGAGCGTTGAGTTGTTTATATCCAGAACATTCGCTGTTCCAGGGGATTTACTTGTTTTTGTTGGTGGCTTTTGAGTTGCGCTCATTTCCTTTACACTCAATGAACCAACGTTTCCAAATCTAAGGGTCACAAAGAATTGCAAAAAGAACACTTTCAGAAGTCCGAGTCTGTCAGTGTATGTACGCATCTATTTCTAGGCAGCCTCCAGCTGCTTCTGCCCATGTTCCCTGCAGCGGGCCCCCCCACTGATCTCCCTCTTCCAATCTTGCCCACCCTGCCCCCCCGACTGATCTCCCTCTTCCAATCTTGCCCACCCTGCCCCCAGTTTAGTCGCAAAGCCTTGTGGAGAAGGTCTTCTAGGTCATAAATTGCATCGTGCTACCTTCTTGCTTAAACCAGTTACAAATAATGAGTCAACTCTATTTGAAACAGTCTACTGCCTTCAGTATTACTCCATTTCCATAAATAACAAAGCAAAAGACAAGAATTTCCAGCAACAACAAACCATAGTATTATGAAAAAGTAAAAATACCTAAACCTGCTTAAAAGGAGTTACCACTAGAGAGAGGCTTTATAAGGAAGAATTTTGCTTTGTGTCTGAATTTTGGATCCTTGCCTTCTTTCCTCTTCTATGTACATACCACACCTGCCATGTGGGATTTCTACTGTGTTGCTTCTCACTCCCCTCTACTGGGGAGAACACAATTTACTGGGATAGCCACCTCAGCTTTAGACCTAACATTCTAAACGTAACCAATTTTTATCTTTTTTCTTCTTTTGATCGTTGATTTTAGTGACAAAGTTTATTTCTTCTGTAATAAGGAAAAAAAAGCCCTTATTTCTATAGTTAATCTAAACCAACTATGCTTTTACTATAATCTGACTCCCCCGAAGTTTCAAAGACTATTATATGATGTGAAAAACATGTTGCAAATGTATAAGATACAGCTTTAAAAAAAGAAACACTTGGAGAGAACTTTCTCTACTACCTGGTTACATAGATACTGTGCCATTTGTTGTTGTCAATCGGGAAGTCTGGAAATTCCAACCGCGTTGACCCGGAGCCCATATCCCAGAGAAAGGCCACCTTCCCTCGCCGCATCTCCACTGCCAAGAAATCAGACTGGGGTGCGGGCATGAGCTGGGGTGAGTTCACGTGCCGACTGTTTGCACGACTACCAAAACATGTTAAAGAATGAGCTCCTGGAGCATTTTCTCTATTTTTTTTTTGTAGTTTTTAATTTTATTATGTTAGTCACCATACAATACATCATTAGTTTTTGATGTAGTGATCCACGATCCATTGTTTTTGTATAACACCCAGTGCTCCATGCAGTACGTGCTCTCCTTAATACCCACCTCCG